AGGAATGTTTATTAAGAGATGTTTTTTGTTTGGCATAAGTAACATCCACATTGATAAATTCATTGTCCATTAGTGTTATTCATGTCCCCTATCTGAAAGTTGAGAGCACAAAAACAATATCATCATAGCGTGACTCTAGACATCAAATGTAAATATCAAAAGGAAGGAAAAAAATTATGAGGCAATTAATCCAAGATGACATTTTTTTATCGCTTGCTCAAGAAGAGCAATGAAGTTTGCTATCGTGCAATCTGTGAACAATGTGATGATGTGCTAGATGAGAAGCTTGATAAGTTGAAACATCATGTCTTGGATCAATAGATTTGAATTTTGAAAATAAAGTTGAATACATATGTATACTCAAAGAGATGACAAACTTCAATATAGTCATCAATCGCATCGTAACTAGGATTGGGATCATAAATAATTATTTATATTATAATTATTAGCAATAATTATTGCCAATGAATGCAAATGTACAAAGGAGTCATCGTTTACAATTTGTACATTTTTGGCCACCTTAAACAATGCATTCCATTTATGGTTTAATAAAGATCTTGCGGTATGTATCTATGATCTCAAACTAGACTACAATGTATATTCATTCAAGAAGAGTGTTCACTGTTAAAAAACCACAATTACAATGATTGTTTGTTGGCGCTTGAAAGAGAGAGAGAAGGGGACAGATTTCTCGAAGCGAGGACGCATGTCAGCAACGCTTCTGTTGCAGTCGGTATGATAAAATGCAATCTGACGCTAATGATGGACGGATTAAAAGATTTTTCTAACAATTCAATTTGAGTTGTTATCGAAATCACAAGCGCAAAACAATAGATCTATACATAGTGCATTTTAAAAGTTGACCAACAACAAGGCCGTTGCAACAATAGTTGATACTATAAAAAAAAAAATTTCATTGAAAACAACCGTTGCCTTTGTATCCAATAGCATAACTGCTATGATCAATATGATGAGTAATTTGGCTAGCTTGCATTCAAACATTATATTCTTGCGCTGATGGTTCCATTGATTTAATCTGATCACAAAGTATGGGTGAGGTTAGAACACTATGAAGTAAAATTTTGAAAAAATTTGCAACCAAATCCAATTCATGAGTTCTCAATATTGGACGATATAGCTGAAAAGAAATGGAGTTGAAAAAAAATATTTTGAAGTTTTTTTCAAATTGTTGTGACACATGATGGCATTTAGTTTTTGTATGTATCTATGTCACATCATACCTCAAAGCTTTTCAACATTGAGTGGAAAAATCAAAGCTAGTTAACGATACGTCGATTAACAAGAACATCTCCAAGTTGATTGAGTATGATTATAAGTTTGCAATCAACAAGAAGAGACTGCAAGTTCATCAAGCCAATTTGTTGACAATATAGCTCTTCTTGAACAAAGCTTTATCACAAACTTGCAAATGTTGTTTTTTCAACTATAGCATTAAATGACACATGTATCTTGATTATGTTAGATATAAATTAGAGTAGTCTCACAATGAGATTGTGAGACTACTCTAGTGGAGACCAAGGCAGAAGTAATAGATGGGGAAGATTGGAATGTAGATGATTTCTTGTCTTGAAATTTTTTATATTGTAATACATACATGATCACAACCTATGAATTGGAATCATGATTTACATGAAAAAAAATATCTTATTGTGATTCCAATACTACTTTGATGTATCTAAATTACTCTACGTTTTATTAAATCTAATCAACTTAAGATATGAATGGCGTAGTGATATTTCGTGATAGCTTACATATACGATAAAAATAAATATTTTTAATTATGTACAATATTTAGAAAAAAACTTACTAACTGAGGTAAAATATATTTCTATAAAAGATTTTCGATAAGACAAGTCCATCGTGATTATAGTGTATACTTTAGGTCATATAATCTCTTCTCTCGAATGGAATGCGTAGATTTAGCATTCGAGCTTGTATGAACATGAACAATGAAAAGTGCAGGAACGGCTTTGTCCAGTCACAAAAGTCCTTTGTATCAATCATTCCATCCTAAAGTCGCCGGTCATGAATGAGGCAGCGCAAGAAGCGGTACCTAGAAAGTGCGCAACGTTTAGCCGGACCCGATTCACCGGCTAGACCAGTCGTGACCTGGAAACCCGGTGAGGAACAAACTTCCTGGACTGCCCTCCGCACCACCGGGACAGTACGGTTTCATTTAATCATAGTACTGCAGGAGTAAGGAAGGCACGCGCCTCTGCCGACGTGGACAAAACAGTGTCGTGTCAGGAGGAAGGAGAGAGCGAGTCCGCGTCGGATTCACGATCCATGTCCACGCTGTCCAGATGAACCCACACCGCGCTCGAATCTCATCCGCGCCGGCGAAGTTCGCGACGAATGCATGCATGCCATGTGCCGTATCCTGCCACGTCGACGTACAAGAGCGTGCAAGTCGGTCGTTCTTTCCACGACCGACCTGCCTCCTCCGATCCGACGACCGTCCCGAGGCTCGGACCGGACCTGCTCCCGCGCCGTGCGCCAAAATATCGCTTTGCTCGGGATTTGGCGCCATCGATCGATCGGTCGGGGCCGAGATTCCTCTCACGCGCTTGCGGGCGAGGAGTCGCATCGAAGGAACGATATCTTTGACCACCGAAAGTCTTAATGTCCCGAATCGCGCACGCGATTGGCTCTGCCTGTCTTTTCCCAATAATGTAAGATCAACTATGGGCTCGCTTCAGTGCACTCACTCCACTTTGCAAAATATCATAAACATAAAAGTTCTGTTCAATCAATCATTGTTGAATTTTTTCGTGCACTTGCATGCACTTGACATTCGGGCTCTCGACATACGCAACTCAACCCCCACCCACAACACATACACCATCGCCAATGCTGTCGTGCAGGAAACTAACTTATGCTTGCTCATTCAGCATAAGGCATTCATTAAATAAATCTTAGCAAGAAGCCTTTACACCCTTTTGCTTCCCACCAATGTAAGAAATCCATCTGTTACCTAACCATCAAATGACATCTTAATATATGTTTAACGACATGGACAATTCAAGGAAGATGTTAGATGATAGCTAGTGTGGGCATTGAGTCACCGAACTACATCCCACCTTCTACTAGTACATGGATGCACCGATTATTCATACTCTTATTTTCATCTTCAATCTAAATCTAATAAAACAAAACCTTCACACGTCAATAAAAAATTCCAATTCATAACCAAGGTGTACATATTCAAGATTAGATTGTACGTTAGCGTCAAAGCATCCCAGAACTGAAGCCCAAAAATTACAAAAATCCTCGTACATTATTTGATAGACAAGGTTGTTTTTAACATGTCTATTGTCTTACAAAGAATAACATGCTCTAGGTGCGTTGACTAGAGCATCAGCTCTTTTATATAGTATTAGTCTAACAAGCCTAAATAATTGTGATTAACCTGATTTAAGTTAAATGAAGATCTGAGTTTCCTCTTAACTTTTTAATGAATGATATAATTATTGAATATTTTATCAAATTGCATCAATATTATATTTTTTATTAAATTTATAGCTAATTAAAAAATTCATTTATAGTCTTGATTAGAGATGAATAAAATGAATAACATAAATAAAATGATATTTTATAATTTTTAATATTTAAAATGATTTGTATTACTTTTTTTACATGCTTATATGATGTCAAAGTTTTCTTTATGTTCATGATGTTTTTTGAATATCAAGATAGTAATGATGATTTTAGAGATGTGAAATTATTATTCTATATCATTGATTATGAATAATGTTGATAAAAAAGAGTAAATTTCTGATCTAAACATTCAAAATGTGCAAAAGTTGGTAATTTTACAACAGCTTATCATTTGATGTCTTTGAAATTTACAATGAATTTCAAAAATAGTTTTTCTTATGTAATCTTTGCACAATAAATTACAACTTTTCTCTTTTGATAAAATACGATGTTAATAATGCCATACGTGAATGATGACGTTATCAACAAATATATTATTTTTATTTTACATTATTGGAAATTTGAACGTTTATCATTTATATTTTATGATTGAAAGTTGGATTGATTTTAATTGTAAATCAGTCAATAGGATTTTTCAAAATTTATGAAATTAAAATGATTTTCATGCCTGGAAATGATGATGATTGGGTAAATGTTACAATATCAATTTTTCTCATTATATCTTGAATTATATAGTGAAAGATTGGATTTATATTATCTTAAGCTGAAAGGAAATAATTTAAAGCATAAGAAATCAATTTTTAAAAGTAAATATCTCTACTTAGTAAATATAACTAAAAATTAAATAGGTGAGATTGACTTTTAGGGGTGTGATACAAAACATGTCATGACAGAAAATAAGCTCATATTAGAAACCTAAAAGTTGAAAGAAGAAAACCTTCGCGTAAGAAGTGATATATTTAAGTAAGAGATCCAAATCAGTTGCAGCCAACTACTATGAAGAATGAAGTGGTAAATAAGTGACAAGAGTTCAAGCTTTTATTCTGGGACTGACAAGGATGAATAAATCGTGTCACATAAGGGGTGACATGAAATTTTGTTGCTTAAGGAGCTAGTACTCAAGCACATGTGAGACCAACTCGTTCTTAATGTTTACAATATACTAGCACGAAGTGATGACTACGAGAAATGGGATGATTTAGGCAAAGTCTTACACAATCATGAATTCTGCAGTTCCGGGATTCTCAAGCACTCCCCCGTAAGAGTGACATTGGCATGCATGCACAGAATAAAATACTGTTTGTGATCTTGACAAAAACAATTGTCTTAGATAAGATGCAGTTGACACATGCAGATAATGGGCTGACTGACCGCTCCATCGGCTCCCACAGCTACATCGACGCGTCATGAGAGATTGTTTCTTTCTCAACAGAACGTGGGGAAGTCGTCGCTCGCGGGCATTGACAAGATTGTACATATGTTTTAAACAGCTGAGAAGCGTAAAACAGTTAATTTAGAGTCTAATTCCAGATCCCATGTGCTGTCATATAAACCATGCATGTACAATCTTTATAACACCATGATACGATGGAAGTTACGATGTTGTACAGATAAGAATCAGATTGTCACCTGAACAGAAATTCTATTGTCTGATGTTGACAAAATTACTCTCTGCTGCTGCTGCTGCTTTCCTCATGAAAGACAAACTTAACAGAAGTATGCCATGTCCTACTAAATTGTTGTGTACATTCGCCTTGAATGATACTTATTCTCTTTATGCAAGTTAAAAATTGGTGTTGAGTAAAGAATACTGAAAGCCTTGTGCTTACTGCTATCAAAATTTAGTGCAGCTGTAGCTGCGGTATAAGGACACACTTTCTTAGGCGAAGCACGAACATTGAGGAAAACTTCCAGCAACTTCGCAGCTAAAAGCTACATATTGATTTCTTGCCGGCAGGCCTAAATAATGGGCCCATGATCAGTTCCTTCGTCGTCTTGACTCTCTTGATTCTTTCTTCCTCTCCGCAACGAATTCGTCCAAATTGGAGCGTATCCAGAGTCTTTTTCTGATCAAATCATCCCTACCATCTTCACCTGCATCAGTTCGACGGATCAAAACTTCATCAAAACAAGACGACCTCATAGATCCGCCTCATGTTCATAAGAGTGTCACGGTAGACATTCGCCCTCTAATTAACACAAATATGAAAGTCAATCGAACCTTAAAAAGCTTTACACTACAACAAGTCCGAGCTAAAGATTTCAACAATCCTAACTTTCAATTCTTGAATCGGTCAAGTTTATTTGTCAATCTGAAGTCGCGGCACAGGTCAAAGTATACGTACTCAGTGTAGCCCATGCTTCGGGAGGGAAGGGGAGATGGTATTTCGTCAAATAAGCAGCATCCTCCCATGTATACGGTAGCTTCTGTATCCAGTATCTCCAAATCCACCGTCCTTGCCAGATTGCAAGCTGTGCAAAAAAACATGATCAGATTCGCTTATGATGACGTACAAATCGTGCAGTTTATTCTATATACCACGGTTCAAAATTGTATTCAATTGTATAGCACACTAAATTATCACACACTGTAAAACCAGAAAAGAGTACATTGAACTCAGAATCCATGTACATGAGAAACATTACCTTGCCGATGGTGTAGGGTAACAAGATGAAACGGATGCCGAGTAGTCTCCACACTGTTGGCTTTTCAGCCCCCTGAATTTGCAGCTCTAGTTCCTTACTGAGTTCCTCGACGTCAACTCCTCTGTCAAAGTACTGGCGGTTAGTTGGGACAAATGCATGATAGAAAAAGTTCAAGCTCCTTTTCAGGAATAAATCCAGTACTCTGATTTTCTCTTCAGGAATGAAATTTCAGTGGTGACCGGCCTGCGAAGGAAGTTTTAAGTTTTACACTCTAATATGGAACATAGCTCTAAACATCGGGGTGACAAACATGAGAAACAAGGTTAAAGTTACAATATCCCTCATTGATCTCAAGCTTTTTTACAAAAAAAAAAACCGTCTGTATCCAGGGCACCCTCATATGCCACCTTGCAAGAAGAGTGATATCATTAAGCCCCTCCAAACAGTCAACATGAGGAGTTTACGAGCTATTCCAAAAAAGTTTTAAAAATACTCTAACAGGCTGTGTGGCTACTTAAAACTCGATACAAGCTGTGAGGAAAGCAGGGCCTCTGAACTTTCGATGACTTAAGGGAAGCACATACTAATCTCACTGTAGAGAACAAATCAAACCCTAACAGTCTTACAGTCCTTGTTGTCTTACAGTAAAGCTCAATACTTGAAGCTCACCTAGTTTCACAATAATTTCACTCACCTAGTTTTCGGTTTGAATCCCTTTTTTTTACTTGACAGTGAACCATTTCGTTCAAGCTCCAGAGCTTTCAACTTGTTCTTGTATGCTGGTGTTTGTTTCACCATGTCCACCATCTGCGGAAGGACAGTACAAGAAATGATTACGACCTTATATTGTTCAAATACGTCTTTTATCTTCCGGCGAGGTGTTATCTATGAGGCTGGTGTTGACGTTCACAACGTTCAACCTCCCCACATGGTGGCAATTGAACGTCCATTATTATTCAAAGTCGCTCAAGCCGCCAATCATACAAATCACACACATTTTAAGAACAAAATTCTCATGAAACTTATTGTCCAGTATGCATGCGGGTCTCGAGATCAACAGAGAATGATGAATGATGCCGACAGGGGAGACATCCGAACAGAAAAAGTGGAATTCCTTTCATTCTCATTATGATGAGAATTCCTTTGAGAACCTCAGCTCTCGATAAGGTATGACAATAACCATCTTCACTTGATACTACTCTAAACATATTAGATCTACAAACAGACTCTTAAACAGTGAAAGAAAAATCAGCCGTTATACTGCATACAGGTGGTGAGTGAGCGAAACTGAGAACTCACCTCCTCTAAGAGGTCACCAATTTCGAAAGTAACTCAAAAAAAAGATTACACCTAAGCAGCCACAGATCCAGCGTATCGTCTAAAAATGAAGAGCCTACCCAGAATATGTACCACGTAATCAACATGTATACGTAATTACGTTAACTTGGGTATGAATGAAGTAAATCAGCCAACGTCGACAGTTTTCAGCAATTTATATGGTACATCGAGACTGTCTGCATATGTGAGAAGTTTAGTAATTTCCTGAAATCAGAAAGTATGTAGGTTTCAAAGTAGGTATACTGTAAACTCTACACGTCACTTACATCATTCAGAGTGGTTCTCGTGTCAGTCAGGACTTTGTTTACTATGATGAAATATACGTAAGGATATATACTCATTACAATTCACGAAATAAACGAAACCATAATTCATTTTGCCTTGAATTATGGTTTTGATTAAAGGACAGTGCAGGTAAAATATCAGATAGTTACCGGTTCACCACCTGTTATACAATAGAACCAAAGCAGCATCTTACTTAATACAGGCATCATGAGTTATTGGAATGTAAAGGCAAGGCTAACCTGAGAACGATCACCATGAAAGCTTGGCATTCGTTTACTGGAAACATTGATGACATCAAAAATTCCCTTAGCGATCTGAGATACCAAAAGCGGAGAATAGATACGATAACTTCGTATCACGTTTCGAAGTTCTCAGTCACATCTTTAGAAAGTAAGATCACCACCAAACCTTATCAGCGGTCTTTCTAAAAAATGCGGGTACTTGTCGAGGAAGCATTGTTTTCTTTATTGATCAAATCTCAGTTTTCTATTTGAAACACGGCATGCTACTTACCAGTTATCAACGAATTCAAAGTAGGTGTACAAAAAGTAAAAATAAGCTGGCGAACGCAAAAGTCGTACTAGACAACAAGCTGGAGGCGTACATATGCGTGGTACGGTATTCTTAGAAAATCCGTACAGGTAGACATTGAGCATAGAAAAAAAAACAACAGTCAGGCCTCCGGCGATTAGCTTTTGGAGTCTAGATAAAAAGTCGGGAACAAGTAAGACAACAGTCTTGACTCGGATGAAATATATCCTAAAATGCATCGACAATTTTGTCCAGTTACAGTCCCCGAGCATATCGGATTGTGAATGACGAACTTTCCGTATCACACCAGTTCATCATTGCACTCTTCATCGTGCAAAGACCTACAACCTTATGCATAGATGACATGGCGACATAAGCGAATCAAGTGCCGCTCTATCGTGTCTTCCTATCCGAGAAAATAGATCGATACACCCTTCGATGTGCTGTCCAAGGTTTTAAACCACAGGAATCCAGACATGGACGTGTGTTGTGTCCGTTAACTCGAGAGGTGAATTTGATTTTTACTGAAAGTACTTGCGGCTCGCGTGGCGGTATATTAGTATTCCTAAGAATTTCGGCAGACAATAAAAGCCATTGAATTCACAGCTAGAGAAGCATTGAATAAACGTTTAACTGTTTAAAAATAGACATCAAAGCCATTGCTGTACGAATGCAGCGATATTTACGTGGCCAGACAAGGATATCGTGGTACAAAGGAAAAAACCCTTACTTCTGTGTAGAGTTAGCAATGACAAAAGTCCATATTTTAGCCCAACATAAATCTAAAGATAAAAGTCCACTTCACGTTTACCTTAGCGGACATTCATGAACTCATTAATTCTTACACTAACCTGTTTACAAACACGGGTACATTTGAAAAACTTATATCTGATTTTCTTGTTCCGTATACTTGAAAGCAAAAGATGTCAAATTCATGAAAATATTTAGTGCATGTGGCGCCTCTGTCACAAAGAAGATGAGAACAGCAGTCATATTTTGTAAGATGCAGCCAATATCTGGTTACAGCGTTCGTCTTTGACAAATACGCTCTGCTTAATTTTCAATCTTATCGCTTCAACATACCTGACTGTAATGAGTCCACTGGTTCAAATACTGGAATCCTGAAAGTATAATTAGAAGCCCGACCAGCACAGCTCGCAGATCCTGCATATCACCACCGAGACCCAGAGATAATCAATTTTTCCGAATTGGCAAGATCTTTGATATAACGACAACATATTCCTACATACTTTGGCTCTAAATGTAACAAAACTACGGTATAAACTTTCTCTTTGTCTAAATAGCTTAAGATTGGGTGCCGTCAATTCCGGCTTCCAAACCCAAGCAGCAAGAGTCCGATGAAGTATCAGCCAACGTCTTCGTTCGAGAGCAAGACGTCGAAGTAGTGGAGACGGAAACTAAAAACACCTAATAGTGCTTCAACACATATATGAGTCTTCAACGAAAAAATAAACTTACAGCTTGTGGCCCGTAATATGTTTGGTAGTAACGAGCAGTGTTATAAAAGACCTGTAACCAGTGAATCAAGAAATATCAGGCGGATAATTCAGCAAACTTTCACAAATGAACTGGGAAATACATAAAGCAGGTTTAGCAGTAGAAAACAAATTCCACTCTGGCATAAACACGCAACCCCATCACTAACCGCACTGCACCTCTTGCACAATTTGTTAAGGTAAGAAAGCAAGCAAATTGATTACCTCTTCTGGATGAGCAATGGCATAATCATACTGCTCACGTTTTGCCTCATCACTTAGAATCTGCAGCCATAGAAGTAGACGCACAGTGAGTGTTTAATTTAGACACCAAGCTGCAAACTCTTTAAGGTTCGTAACTAAGACATCAAACCTTTTCGGAGAATCTGATGAATTGACAGGTAGAGTTTTATGACAGAAGAATCTACTAAATCCAACAAAAAAGGACAAAAGAAGGAACACGAACCACCACAAAGGAGTTCTAATACGATATATTATTGTTGGGACCGTCAAAACCCGACGAATAACACTCACTGATGCTGCCTTCTTCGCTGTAAAGCTCGAAGGTTGTAATGGAATAATAACTGAGGAACTTTGACATGGCTCTATACTGATATCCACGAACAAGACATATCTTTTCTTTAAAACAACTCGCACATATATGTATCAAAAAATTATTTGATTGAAACTAAAAATATCTAGAACGATATTTGAAAGCGATTTACCTCATAGGCATTGGCTACTTTGATGAACTGCTTCTTAGCCTCGGGATCCGGATTTTTGTCTGGATGACTGTGAATAGATGCCCACACTCGTGTAAGCAATTCAACGCTTCTTTGGAGGTGACATACATCTGATTCCAGACTTAATCTAACGCACATACATAAGTACGAAATATCTATTCCACAGATGCCCGATCCAGGATACAATTGTGCAAACTGCATAGAAGGCCGAGAACCTGGTGTACTTTTAATACACGAGAAGGAATTTGAGTGTAAAACCAGTTCGACGACTACAATATGATCAATAACTAAAATAAAGAAATGGAGTTCTGAGAAGCTCAGCTTATACTCAAATATCCTTACAGCTTCAAGGAGAGTTTGTAGTAAGCTTTCTTGATGTCCGAGGTTGTTGAGGCCTGTGTCACTCTGCTCAGCAACGAATTTACCCGTATATCAGATTTCTATCTTCGAGACAACCGTACATTCTTTCCTCGGAGCACAAAGCATAGGTAAAGCTCAAAGCAATGGCAAGATTATTTCGTATCCTACAAATGAAACAATCGGCTGTAGATGAATTGTAATTTCTCATTTAAGACATTCTTCGGAAGGTACCCAAAACTGAAGACATAATCTTTATTCTGATTGAGATTCTCACAATCGCTTCTAAATTATTCGGGACGGGCCATACTAGTGCAAAGCTGCCGCAAGACTCTCAACCAACACAATTTTGATCTCAAATCACTTCCCATAAACTCAGATGATCCACAGCCAACGTATCTTTAGAAACTTCAAAGTACGAGCAAGCATTGCTGTGATTTCAGATACACAGCTTGTAGTAGGTAGATTCCATGATATCATAGAGGCATGATCGGCTCTCTCAATGATGTTTGAAATAAGAGCAGCAGACATTGAAGTACAGATATCAGCATCTGAGGGGGAGAAAACGACTCACCCGAGCAGGTCGTAGCAATCATCCTCATCACAGTAGATGGATAAAACACAAGGTAACAAAGTCAAGAACAAAAGCGACCACAAAAGTCTGCGAGAGTCCTCTGATCTCCCCATCCTTCTCCGTCACGCCTGAGGATTTTCTTTCAACCTTCCAGCGTTCCCACGGCTCTCCTTCCGCTCTCAGATCGAATCCCCTGTCTCGCCACCTCAAAAGAAAGCCCGATCTGCTACAACTCCTAGGCGGCGGAATTCTCTACCATGTCATCATCATCTTCATCGCTGAAGCAGGAAATCAACACGAAATTCTCCGACCCGATCGTTCACGAGGCATCCTGACCCCACGAACAAGAGTTTAAGGAGCTAAGGAGCAATCACCGACTCTGACTTCCAGCCACAATCTCGTGCTGCATTCATTGGGATCTCGTTGTTCAATCTAGGAGCGGCAGGCCTTCGCGCGGACCTTTCATGGCTTGCACGCCGCTGGTCTCGATTCTTTGCTCGAGGGAGCGCGCGTCCGTCAGCTGTTCTGATTCTCCTTCCTTCCTTCACTTACTCTGCGATTCTCCGTCCGATGGGACAGTGTTGTCGCGGCTACTGAGCACTGAGAGTGATGCTCCGTGGAGTCCCATGGGCCTCCACCTCCGCGCCCACGGAGAAACCTCAACCAGTCACCGACCAGGGGACGAGGAGACATCCAAGAACCAAGAAGCGGAATTATGCAACTCTCATTCGTTTTCCTCGTGCATTTTGCAGGAAAGTTGATTTTCACATGAATAAACTTATTACTTTATTTTTTTTATCCAAATAAATATACATCATTTCACTTATTACCTACGAACTCTAAAATATATCATTCATATTTGGATTATCAAAATGAAACAGAAACCCATTTGTTACAAAATTATATAATTGTAATCGATGGGGTTTTTTTCAAGTTAATCTATTTATATGGATGTTGGTCACATGAATGAAATCTAGAAATCTAAACTCAACAAACAATTGATTGATTAGCGATCTCAGTAACATGAATTCCAAACTAGATTACATGGATTCATGACTATGATTATTAAAACAGCTTTGGGTAGTAGAAAAGATAAGTTTTGTTCTATTGACTACCAATAAGATTTGTTTATGACTATTAAATAAGCTTTAGAAGCTAATTAGCCAAAAACTATACGAGATATGCGAAACAATTAATGTACATAACGAAGCCGCTTTGAATACGCACCTGTTGGTGATGTTACCAAAAAAACCCTTGATTCTCATATCAAAAGTGGTCTACATAATATATCCCCATCACAACTAGAGATGAAGAATATTGCATTCTACACATGTAAATCTTGATCCTCAAGAACACATGATGAAGATTACTATTCAAGTAATCAAACATAAGACAACTCTACAAATCTATATGAAATACAATGTGCATTATTTCGCTGACAAATAGAACACATTAACTGCCATAAGCAAAATAATGGACTCATTGATCATGACATGATGTATGATGTACACGACAACAATTATCTTATTAACTTTTGTCTCTGAGAGTATGAAGGTTGACTTTAAGACGATGATTCTTATGAAATGATCTCTTTGTCGAGTGTCGACAGAGAATTGTAAAACAAATACGTTTATGAACTGATCTCTCTCCCGTGTCTACGATTGACTGTAAAACGATGTTTCTCATGCACTTTTGACTCTATCGAGTATAAACGATTGATTGGAAAATGATGATTTTCATGAAATTTTCTTTCCGTCCAGAATCGATAGGTGATTGTAAAACGGATTTTGTCATGTAGATTGAAGATAGGTGATTGTAAAACGGATTTTGTCATGTAGATTGAAGATAAAAGAAGAAATGTGAACCATTTAAATAGTAGGTAAGGAATGAGACTGAAGAAAGATCCACCATATTGAGAAAGATAATATGGCAGATGGGATAGTGATATTACTCAATGAAAGAAATTGGAAAATAACTTACACCTTCATACGAACATCTAATGATAAATTGTGATATGTTCTTTAATGACAATAAAGAGATTATAGGTACTGAAGGAACCGATTTTCAATATTGCTCAAGTAAACTTCAATCGAGATGATTCCAACACCAAAAATCACTTGCATGTAGGTCAAAACACATATCAGAAAATAAGACTCCACCTCTAAAGCATCTAATGCTATAGGCCGAGTTAGAAGTTTCAGAACATATCAGGATGATATTTTAAGCATCTCATGATACATGATGATGCAAAAATGAATAAATGCAATGATGTTGGAATCATTCTTGTAAACTCAAAAACATATCCAAACGTAATCGATAAATTTACAATGAGATAATTTTTTGTTATCAACTTGTGAGACAAACTACTAAATTCAAAGATTTCCTCTAGACACAAAATTAAAACATGTATTGGATCAAATTCACACAAAAACACAAAAAATAAGAGTACACTCAAAGAATAATTGGTTTGCTACTCGGCTATGTTCAAAAGAACACAAATCTTTGAGGTTAATATTTAAGTGGTATGAGTTAGGTCTTATCGTTCTTAGTACTTAATTTTTACAGTGGTTGACATGAGTTGAAAAGCTAACAATTTTTCCTTAACTCATATTGAGTAGACAATAATCTCCTTAACTTGAATAATTACTTTGCGGTAAATCTTAAAACTAAATCTCTTATACGCACGTTTTTGTATTAAAACTAATTATAACTAAGTTGTAGCGAAAATATGATAGAGTAAAAACATATAGATATAACTAAAATTATTAGTAAACTCTAATTTTGCTCTTCATGCAAAACATGCATAGCAGCACAATGTTTACTAAAACTTCTCAAAGAGATAACTTTGATCAATGTATCAGTTAGATTAAATTTAATGTCAACTTTGATTAACTCATTTTTAAAAAAAAAAACTACATGTTTGATAAAGTGATACTTGATTTCAATGTGTTTTACTAGTTAATTTTGACTAGCTAATTTTTTTTTCCAAAAACTACATGTATGATAAATTGATACTTGATGTCAATGTGTTTCACTCCGCTGTCTATCACTTGATGTGTATCAAGATGCAATGCTCTTTTGCTATAATTATGAAGATTGACAACCTTCCGTTTCAATACCATCTCATTGATAAGCCTATTCAACCAAGTAGGTTTTAGTTTGCATTTCCTGCCGCTTTATAGTCATTTTCCGTTCTAGATTGAGCTAAGCATTTTTGCAAAGTAGAGTTCTAACTAATACAATCATCATCAAGTGTAATCACAAACTCAATTGTAGATTTTCACTTGTGTACATCTTGTTCATAAGCAGCATCAATGTAACATAGCAAGAATTTAACATGATCTAATGAATCATGAAACAATAAAACATAATTTTTAATAATCGTTAGGTACATGTTAGCCATTTAGCTAATTATCAATGCATTTTTTCTTAATTTGACACTAAATCTGCTCATATTGCCCATACTAGATTCAAACATTTCAATCTAGACTTTTACTCTTTCACTTAGTCTAAGCAAATGTAAGATCTTTACTGGACATTATTTGTTTTAAGCTGATGGTTTGTCCATAAGTATGGAATTTGATGGTTCCGTTTCCAACGCCAAAGCGTTCAAAGTGTTCATAATCAGTGATACTCATACAAGCTATGTGTTATTACACATGTATTACTAGGTGTAAAAAATTGTTCTACTTGGGACTTGAACTTGCAGTGAAAATAATGACGAGTGGACTCTACACTAAATATTATATTAACTTTGCAACAATAAGTATCAAGTTTTACTCACATCATAGGTCCAAGATATGCAAGAATAGATTACTTGTGAAGAGAGAATCATGTCTAATCTCAAAGGTCCATGGGAATAAGGTTATTAATTGTGTATGTACAAATCTATGATCTTCCTTTACCACTAGGCTTCTAGGAATAGTTGCTAATGATGTGATCTTGGTCTGGACATATGTGAGGATTTGGAAAATATGAAGCATCACACTTGAACACTTGCATTTTTGTCCTCATGGCTTCATGTGAAGCTTTCAACTCATGTATCTCAGTATGAGCAAGAGTGAGCTGAATAGTTTGTACGTTAAATTCTTGTTGAAGTTCATCAAGGTAGTTCAAGATTGTTTGAACCAATTTGAGTATTCCTCTTAAGCTTCATCGTCACTCCTTTTCACTTCTCATCTGATCTGAGGAGCTAGTAATAGAAACGAAACTTTACGCTGAAAATCAATCAATCACCAAATGTATCATCAATTGTATTCGCTTGAATCAAAAAATAATCTTATCTCTAACAATGCATCCAAATGCTTGTTGATTGATGCTGGAGCAGATGTGGAATCTTCACATACTTTCCACTATACAACAAGATCTTCTTCCTCTCTAAACTCGCAAACATACTAGTTGACTGTTATCTGGTGCCTTAAGAAGCTTCAAAATCTTCACAGCTTCCACCGGTAGAAACGCTAATTTCTCTCTCCTCAAAAATCACGCGCAATCTAACACTTGTGAATCGTAGACATTTGCTTCTGTAGCCCTCATTATCTGTGGTATCTCACCGCTTCACTACTCTAAATGTATCACTGTTTGATCTCTTCCGTAGTTATCGTCGTCGCCATCGCTAGCACCTCATTGCTTCATTACCTCCGACCAATCGCACATAAGAATTAATTTAATTGTTAATGAATTTTTCCTTTACATTTGAAAAGCAATATGGTACAGTAGTTCACTTGCAATTTTAGCCATATCCGAATTACCAAACTCAAGCAAAATTCTCAACCGCCTCTTGATATTCCATCACATTGACTTTTTACTTTACTCGACAAACATTTCAACACATTTGCATTCACGGGCTCCGTATCAAAGCAATTCACGACACGACCTCATCAAAATCTCGTACCCTAATTTCCTTTACTCTAATGCTTTTTGTGCGTCAACGTTCTCAGCATCAATCACATTTCATTCCGTGCATAATCAAACTTTTCTTGAATCTTTCACTGCAATCATTTCACTTCATCATACTTCACTTCCATTTTATCAAGAAAATCATCCCCAAGTGCAAGTCACTTATAAATCTCATTATTCACTTTCTTCATGTATACATAAGTATCATACACATTCAATGAAAATCCTAAGGTTTTAATGAATTCATCAAAACTTTCATTTGAGTGACTAGAAGCTTGCTTCAATCCGTGTAATGATAGTAACAATCTACAGATCTACTTCTCCTAACTAGTCTTTTCAAAACCAATCGGATGTTTCATGTGGATTTCCTCATCTAAATATCTATAGAATGATGTTGTGACTATGTATATTTGATGCTAAATAAATTAAAAAGTGCAACAAGTTAACGAACAAAACATATTGTAGTTTATATTGCTACACGTGAAGATATTTTATTATAGTTCACAAATTTTTTTGTGAAATCTTTAGCCATCAACTTGGCTTTTAAAATTATACTTTCATTAACTAGATTGTTTTTTAGCTTCTACACCAATTTGCAATCAATCAAAATCTGATTCCTTGAAAGCCATTAGTTTTTGGACCTTGTCATCCACCAGCGATTGCATCTTATGTTGCATAGTAGCAATTCATTCAAGCTTATTGACATAGGCTTGAGAATTTCTTGTAAAAAATATTTTCTTCCTC